TTGGATCAAAATAGTCTCTGATGCCTTGGGTGTGCCTGCAATGAGAGCCCCCAGGAACAGCACATTCAAGGGAAGGCCATGCTAACACATGTTTTGGAAAAGCTGCTGGATCTGCCTGCTGACCCCCATCACAAACACACACACCTCCCCTCACTCGTTAATGCAATGTCAGCAAGAGTGCTGAGTCACTGACAACTCAGGGGTTCCTCCCTCCTCTGCATCCCAAATTTACTGAGCTTCCTGATTCATTCCTTGTCCCCAGCTTGGCTGTGAGATATCAGGAAGGCACTTGATTCTCCTTGGGGCTCCAGTGTTCATGTCAGAGACATGGGCTGTGAGCTGCCCTCTCCCCGTTCTCCTGGCCAGGTGCTCAGCACTGCTGAGTAGGGAAGGAGGACAGGATGGCTCCGTATCCCTGCCTGTAAGTGGCCCTTCTACAACTTCAACTAGCCCTGGGCTTCTCAGCATCATGGACAGTGCAGAGGCTGGTGCTGGGCACTGCATATTCTCAGCATTGATCTGGTCTGAGAAACACAAGGATGTGGTGTTGGTACCTCTGAATGATGCAGGAGACAAAGCCCAGAGCTGGGGACAAGCTGAGGAAAGGCCTGGATGGGAGGGCTGGCACAAGTCAGCAGCCTGGGAAAACCTGCCAAAACCTACCTGTGCACCACCAGACCTTGTTCTTCTCCACCTGCAGCAGCACAACCTCAGCACTGCCTGCCCTTACCTCTCACAGCTTCAGCTGAGCCTGGATCTCACACAGAAGAAAACTCCCCACTCCACTGCGAGCAGCTGCACCAGCTTAGCACCATCAGCAGGGAATGTGGCTGAGAGCAGACCCTCTGCCCCCTCCCTCCATTTTGGGGGGCTTCACATGGCCTCACAGTTCAGTGGCTGCACACTCAGGAGGAGACAATCTGCACACCCCGTTTGCACTCGAGTGGTTGGAAAACCTGACTCCAGATGGTAGCAATTAGTTGACACCACCAAGGCTGGCAAGAGCCAAACTGGCAAGCTGGAGGTACATCCTTGGTGTTCCCTGCATGACTAATGGTCCAGTAACCCAGCCTGCTCCTTAATGAAGGCTTGGAAAGAAACATGCTTGTGTGACACAGAACGAGTAGCACTGTTAATCCATCTTTTTTAATTGAAGAGTCCACACCAGGAGGCAGATTGGGACCAAGCAAACACTTGAAATAAAGCATGGAAAGAACTGGTACACCAACCTTTCCCTACTTCCCACTTATCTTCCCTCCTTCCAAAAAACTTTCACAATGATAATTAACTCTAATAATATCTACTCTGCTATGGGCATCAGCAGCTCTCAGTAAAGCAGTGAGTAAGTGATCAGCACAGGAACGCTGAGCATTTATAATTGTGAAGTGCACGGGATAAACCAGGAATATTTCTGCCAGAACATTTAATCCTTGCTGCTTTGATTTCCAAAGTTGTATCCTCTGAGATTTTTTTGTTCCTTTTTTGTGGGGAAGAGGAAATATTTTTATATGCTAAAATCACTGGACAAATCTGGGCTGAAAACCAACCACGATTAACAGTTACAGGGGAGAGGAGTCTTTAATTGTGACCCGGATTTATGAAAATGACTGAGAGCCTTTTCTGGGAGATAATCAACCTCTGAGTTGAGAATATCTTCAGTCAGAGCCTCTGAAACACATCTGATGGATGTGACTCTCAGTGAAGTGACACTGGCATCCTCCTCGTGGCTCTGGCTATCAGCCCTGGGTAACATCTGCCATCCCAGCTCACTCGTACACCTCTGACGAGACCTCAGCAGCTCCTCGATCCTTCCACTCAACAAAAACCTCCCTGCAACAGTCCCAGTCACTCCAAGGATTAACAGATCTTATCAACTCTTATAATGCTGCAGGATAATACAAGTTATTTCTCCAGTGCAATGGCAGATTCTGCAGTATCCTCAGTAACCTCTGAGTCCCCAGAGGAGTGACATGCACCTGACCCCATCTTCATGACCTTCACTGCCCAAGTTCATACAACGAGGAAGACTAATTTAGATCAAAAGGCATCCAGGAACTGGAACATCATGTATTTCACAGGTCAAACAACTGTAAATTGAACTGTGTGCTCTGTAACCTTCAAGATTTAATTAATAATTCCACTTCAGCAAGGACACCCTACACCTACGTCATTAGGTACCAATATAGAGAGCACCCTTCCCGTCCCACAGATTTTTTCACCTTGTAATAGATTTTTAAAATAAAGTATCCACAGGTTCCCCTTGACAACACAAACTTAACCCTCTCCCTCATACTCACCCTGTCGTATCCAGGACACGAAGGGGGTGGGATCAGCAGCTGCCATACACTCCATCACCACGCTCTCCCCGGCCACCACCGTGGTGTTCTCCGGAGCGGCCACGATGGTGACATCTCCTCCTGCTGGCTGGGGACCTAATGGCAAAAACAAAAAGAGAAGTCTGTCCTTACAAGTTGCAAAGTCCCTAGAGAAACAGAGAAGGCAGAGCCCAGGCTTCCTGGCCATGCTTCCCTGGGCTGTCTCACGTGTGGAAACAGCTCAGGCCCACTTGGAGGAGAAAAGCAGGTCTTGCTTTTACATGACTATGATATTTTTACTAAAGCAATGAAGAATCTGCCCTGCAGATTTACTCTAATCATGCTGGCCTTAGTAAAAATTAATATCATGATTTCCCAAGGAAAATTAGTAGTTTCAACCCAGCACCTTCATAAACTGTTGCCACGTGGATGTTTGTTCTCTAGACAGAAAAAGTCACTGCTGTCCTCAGAGCAACACCAACACTCACAGCTTTCGCCAAGGCATTGGAACAGCTTGGGAAGAATCCAGTATCTTGGTTACTGAAATCCTAACAGCCAGATGTTGGACTGTAAACTGCAGCAAGGAAAGGTCAGGGCTGTGTCCCAGCCTTCACCTGACAGCACAAAGACTGATCAGCCATCACACATCTGGAGGAGAGAGCCCCGAGCAGCTTGTACGTGCACAGACCTACAGCCAACACTTAAATCGAGCGAGGTTTACAGGAAGGTCTCCAGGCTGCATTGCACAATGTCTTGAGAATGGGATATTCTGCTTGAAATCAACCTTCTGCCTGTGTCTGCCCACTGCTGAGCAGAGGTTAAGGGAAGGTTAAGGAAATGCCTTTGCAGCAGCCAAATTTCTGTTGTCAGATGAAAACAACCGGAGCACTCTTGAGCAGACCAGACTGTTCCTGACCCTCAACAGTAGCAGCCCTGTTCTTCCAGCTCTCTCAAATACCTCTAACTCTGAGGGACACTTTTGTTGTTGAAGGGAGAAGTAAATGCAGAGGAGTCACGTAGCACCAGTAACTCTTAGGCCTGCAGAGAAAGTTGTTGGCAGCAGGTCTCAAACAAATAAAAGCAGGACCTTTCTGCACAGTACAAACTCTCGGATGCTCCAGAGTTCAAAACCCAAGAGGTTCAGACAAGTTCATGACAGACACATTTATTGGGACTGTTAAATATGGTATCACTGCAGTCCCCAGCCCAAAGTGGTCCTCACTGGGATACTCTGTCTGACAGGGATCCTGACTGTCAGATGCTGAGGCAGATGTCCAAGGAAAGCACCATGTTCTTTCTGCCCAGTTTTTTCACATGCTGTCCTCCAGCATCTGCTGTGGTCACTTCTGGAGATGGCACTGCTGGACGTCTGGCCTGACCCTCCCTGGCCATTCATGCAGCATTCAAACAACCCATATTTGAATTCCTTGTGGATACAAAGCAGAGGAGCTTTGGCCTCAGCAGGCAGAGCTGCCTGCATGGCAGGAGGCCACAGAGGGCTGCACTGAATGTGCTGTGCTCAGCCCATCCCCAGGCTCACTGCCATTCACTCTAAGCAGGGCAGTCTTGCCAAAGAGTTGGTTCAACACTGAAATGTTCTCCCAGTCCGTACGTGCGTGAAAGGGATTTCCATCTGCAGTATTGCATGAGCACAGTCAAAAGGAGCAGCAGAATCCCTGAGGCACCAAGGGAGACCGGGAGCGAGCAGGAGCCAGTGCTTGTCCAGCAGATGGAAGCAGAGACCAAGGAGCACCCCTGGACCCTGACCTGGGGCAGTGGTCGGACCATGCTGACCTGCAACCCCAGCCCTGGCCAAACACCAGCAATAGGAGCTGGCCTGGGGCACAAAGGAAGAGCCAGGCCAGTTGTCCTCCTTCCAGTGGAACAAGCACCCTGCACAGAGGGGCTGGAGTGGGCAGGCACACACAGTCTCCTGGGCTGGCCAGGGCTTTGCTCCACCACATCATTACCTGCTCCCATCATTCTGTCCATGGACACTTGCAGCCTCACAGCCATCACACCCAGGTGCAGCAAGACAATTTGGGGGACAGCACAGGGACAAGAAGGAAACACATCACATAAGGATTCTGAGGTCTCACTGATAAACAGATCAAAGTCCTGGTCGCTGTGGTGCCAAGGCTGGGCCTGAGAACTACTGAGACAGAAAATGGGCTTAATGCAAAAACAGACATGAGAGCTCTCACACCAGGGACCCAAGCTGAAGGATAAAGGAAATGCAAGGCTCTCTGCAACAGCAGCTTTCAACAAAGCACTAATATCCACAAGTAGTCACTAGTCCTGCATCAGACTGCAGGGCCACGGCAGCTTTTGATGAAAACAAGCAGGGCAGCAGCCAACAACCCACATCCTGGAAGCAGGAATATACATGGCAGGACTTCAGCCTACCACGGGAGTGAGATTCTTTACCCAACACCACCGGCTGCCGCGTACCTGCTGGGCAGGACATGGCTGAAACACGTCTGTGTGCACAAAGCTGTCTTTTTCTGCAGTGCTGGGGGAAAAAAATAAATCTAGAGTGAAAAAATAACACCAGCCAGATGGCAATATATTCCCTGCCAGATTTCCAAGCAGCTTTCTCTACCGAGCTTAGGGCAGAGGAAGAGAAAAAGCTCCTCAAACCTGACTTTAACACTTATCTGTTGCATTCAGGTGCACGGCCCCAGGTGCTGACTGGCAAAAGCACTTACAGGTTGTAGAAACTTCACCTGAAGGCACTTGTCCTGTACCACTTGGTCCCTCAGCTGCCTGGTAGTGCTGCCAGTCACCAGAAGAGGGATTTTACCACAGTTTCAGCCTTGAAAAGCTATTGGGAAAACATATTAGTCCAGACCTCACATCTGATTATTACTGAAATTATATTATAAACCCAAACAGTTCTGCTTGCTTTCCCAGTGCATTCCTGGGCGTGTGCATGGATGAATGCCCCTTACACTGCTTGCACACACAAACACATCTCTCTCCAGCTTTGTATTCCACCGTGGGTCTCTCAGAGCAAGTCCACAAGCCAAGCTCCTCTTTAAACTGAACCCCTTTGGAGCGCATTTTTCCCTTGCCATCCATTGGACATAACGGACCACAGGTTCACTGGCACAAACTGGGTTTCATTTGGTTTGAGGAGTTCCCAAGAACAGCACCGAGCTGACCCGGAAAACCTCCACACAGGGGATTCCAACACGCAGCAAAGAGTAAAACCAACGTGAGGTTTTTTGTCTCCACTGCCGTTAAGACCATTTCAGGTCAAGAGGGAATATTGTCAGAACCAAAGGAAAAAAAGAGCTGCAGTTTCCAAGCCATCTTTCACTGCCTGAACAAAACAGGTCACTGAATGCACCTGCGCCGTGCTGGCCGCTCTGGGGTATTAAAAGCTTTCACAGTGCTGCTATTTAAAACTTGGGCTTTGAGATCTCTCCCCCCTCTCCCAGCTTTGTTTTGCCTCTCCAAGCGGCAGAGCTGCTCCAGGCAAAAGCTTTGCACAGCCCAAGGCAGAGCCCATGGATTCACATCAAAACTCACCATCACTGATGGCCTTTGTGGACTTTTTGCCCTTCTGAATCGGGTGGATCGATTTTACACTCTTTTACTGAAAAAAACCCACCTATGGGGTGCCAGGAATGGCTCTGGGGTGACTGGGACTGTTGCATAGGACTGAGGGAAATCCTCTGGGCACTGAAAGTTGGAGAATGCGGCTCTTTTCCTGCACAGTTTGTTAACCTGTGCACACGCTTGTGACTGCACAGGGAGACACCAAAGGTGCTACCACAGAACAAGAGACTCACTGATCACCTGCAGAAATATTTCAAAATATTCCCCTCAGTTTTACTGTTTCTGAGCGACTCACCACAGAGGACTTCTCAGTTGCCTGTCATGAGACAGGAGAGTCAGGCCAAATTTGGGTGCTCCATTCGTTGTACCCTTGCTCTCACAGGCATCTCTCAGTGCCTGGAGCTGGGCTCAGGGCAGGCACAGAGGAAATACAACACATCATTTATGATCATGTGTTATAAAAGCAAAATGAGGTGGGGAGGGGAGCACAGGGAACCTGGAGACAGCAAGTGAGTGAGCCAGACAGATTCTCAGCACACAGACCTCCTGCCTGACCTCCACAAATCCAAGCTGCGTCGTTTCACAGCGAAGGCGAACGATGAGCAGGGATGTCAACAGGGAGCTGCTTGGGACAAAGCTCAGAATGTTTATTTGAGGTCATGGCTTAAGTTATAACATACATCAGTGATTTCCAACTCCAAGAGTTCATAACTTGGCTCTGCCTCTAATGCATCCATAATTCAAGAGCGATCCTCTCCCGCCTCCCTGCTCTCGTTAGTGCAGAGCATCAGCGAAGAATTCAGGCAGTGCAACAGGAGGAAAATGCTTTTTGTTCAGCCAATTTGTGATGGTCGTTTGCAGTGACAAGAGGATGACTTCTTGGTTGGGAACTAACACCTCTCTCCCGACTCCATAAACACCCTGCCTCCGTAAAAGTGCTGGAAGGTCAAACACGACTTGCATGGCGACACATTCAGCTCTCAGCTGTCAGCAGGTCAAGATTTGGAGATATCCAACAATCAAGCAACAACCTCTGTTCCACGAACTTTCTCACCCTCTCTGGAGGAGGAGCATGAAACCTTATTCATCCCTGCGAGCCTCCTCCGGGAATAGATCCTAGCACTGAGCAGCTGTTCATTAGAGAAAGTCAATGCTGTCACTGCTGTTACTCTGCAGACAATAAAGGGGCAAATTACCCATTGCAAAGCACACACCTTCAAAAATGCGGGTGCTGTGTTTGCAGAGCGTGTCCTACTCCCACTCCTGAGCTCTCTCCCTTTTCTGGGATAACTCACAGACCTCCTAGACTGTTCAGGAAGAAAGCTGACAGCAGCTATGGAGGAGAAAAAACATCCTCCAGACCTGCCTTCCTCCTCCCTTTACACTGTCCTGGAAATTTATTTGTAATTTATTTCTACTTCTGGACTAGACCCAGGACAGGATATAATTAGCAAATAAAATCTCTAGGCAAGACACTTGCCCAACTGTATCTGAACACTACAGAATATCTGCTCTGGGGGCAATATAAATAACATCAGATCTCACACCTGAGCACCCTTAGCAACAGGCATTTCTTCTTTTTGAACCGTTCTCACCCAAACACAGCAAGGCACAGCTTTGCAAACAGGAAAGCAAAGCAGCCAAGAGAGGACTGGCACCAGGGATTTTTCATAAGTGACTACAGAAGCTGAGTGCTGCCCTTTTGACACCCTAAATCAGGCCTCTCCAAAGTATCACAAGTCAAACACTGCCTCCTTTCCTCCTCAAACACAGCTCTTGCAACCACATATCCTTTCCAAAATTTACCATTTCCTTTTTTGGCTTTTTCTTCCACGTTTGCTATACCAGTGCCTGTGGCAGTTTGGATCCAAGTTCTGTTTTCCTGACACTGAAGGGGTGACTTTTAGTTACAAGATTATGGACTCAATTCACCAAACACTTGGTTCTTCTTTGATGGTTCTCAGCCTTGAAAATTCCTCTGCAGCCTTTGATTCCCAAGCCTTGCAGGAGCTTTAGGTGTTGTGCCACAGCAGAAACTCCAGCACAGACAATGCTTTGGTACTGGGACAGCAGAACTCGTCCCAGTGCAATGTGGCAGCAGCACTGCCCATAGAAATGTTCCTTTCCTTTCCCTTTCCAGGCAGTTGTGGAGTGTCTGGGTCACCACAGGAGTCGCCTGGGAAGGGAGGCTGAAAAGGAACTCGGTTTCTGCTGCACAGGGTCACTGTATTGTCATAACAGGTTATTTCTGTCCAATAATACCTATGAGCACAGTAAATCAGTTTTGTATTGTCTTTTTACCTCACGTCTTCCAAACATTTTGTAAGCAGTTATGCATTTGTCAATGCAAACATTGAACTGAAAAGCTGAACAGGGAAGAATTTATGTTCATGTTTTGGAACGAGGACAGTCTCTCTTCCTCCTTACTAAGTTGTTGCTGCAGCGGTGCAGTGGCGTATCCTGTTGCATTTAAAGCAGCACACAAAGAAACATGAATAAATGATTAAAACACAGAAGTTCAATCACTTTCTTAGTTCTATTAAGAGACCTCCACATGCAGCACTTGTATCTCAAACTACTGTCATAAAATCCCCAACAAAGAAGTCAGCAAATAGATCCCAAAATGTATGGTCCAACCTACACTTCACAAAATCTACTCCTCTCATGTTTGCATAAACATGCAAAATGGAGAATTTAATAGATTAAATACACTTCTATGATTAAAAAAAGATATGGAGACAGGTTAATGAGTTTGGATGAGGAGTGTCCATTTACTACCTGGGCACACTCCTCAGACCAGCACCTGTCACAGCTTCTGGGGTCTCTCCACGAGTGTGGCAGGAGAGGCTGCTCTAGGAATGGCTTCTCTCTTGGCTGGAGAAACAGCCTGTTCAACATTTTGCCCAGCTCCATGTCCTGTGTCTGGAAGCCCTGGGAGCACATGGATCTCAGTCCAGACAGGCAGAGGGGCCATCAGGCAGCCCTCTTTCATTCCTCTCCATTTCGTTATACAGCTGACAAATTTCAGCTCGGAAATTAAATCCTTTAATGTACTGGCTCAGCCACAAGCTGACACCTTGAACTCTCTGTAACCAGAAGCCCAGGAAGAGGCTGAGCAGTGGCAGGTTTCCAGGAATCGCCGTGGACTTTTAGGGGTGCTCTTCCCCCACCCCCCAAACCCTTGGTCCCTCAGGCTACGGAGTTTTGCACGTCCAGGGTTCATTTAGCTCTGCCGCAGAGAAGCCGGGGTGTGCTTTGCCCACCACTCCAGCTCCTGAAAAGCTGTCAACATTGGCTCTCTGTTTGCGTACACGCATTTGGAACTGCTCTTCACCACGCCAAGAGGGACGGGAGCCAGCCAGACTGCACGACGAATTCCTGCTCGCTTCCCCAGAGCGCTTGGAAGCGCCTCCATTTGCACCGCCCCGAGCCGGAGCCAGGCAAAATAAACAGGAGGGGCCACGCCGGCCCTGCAGCCCCAGTGCACACAGAGCTGCTGAGAATTGGGAATTCCTGGTTTCTGCCACAGCCCAAGTCAGCTAAAGGGTTGAAGAATCCTTGGAAGCTTAAAGATACATCACGGAGAGTTTGCAGGAGGCAGAAGAAGTGGACCATGGGCTGGAACGTGGCAAATGGAATAGGAAACCCAAACTCAGGGCACAGTGGACGCTGAGACCTGCCTGAAGGACAATGTTGGAGCAGCACTGATAATGTTTTAGATAATAACTACTAATTGATAAGCATTTCTTGGCACATCACAGACCTTATTGTAAACAAACTGCTTATAAAAAAATCACTCGGTATACAGTGAGAGTTGAGCCTTAGATCAGGTGAGCAAGAAAGAGAAGTGAAGAAAAAAGCAGAGGTACCTCAGTGTCCCTGAGTGTCTATCTCCAGTCTGAAGAACAGCAGAGCAGTCTCCCTGCCCTAACCCTAAGACCCAGACAGCTTATGTTACTCAAGCTGAGCCCTTAAAGCACTGCAAGCCCCAGCCATTCCCAAGCAGCTGCCAGAAACAGTCTAGAAAAACAAGGGCTGCAAGAGGCTGCTTTGCAAAGTTACCACCACAACAGGAACCTCCACAGTGCAGCAGGAATGTCCCAGGATGATGTCCCAGCTTCCCAGCAGGGCCAGGCTCTGCTCCAGTGGTTCAAGGGAAAGTCTCCCCTGGTCTCTGCCACTAACTCACTGTGCTGCTCTGGGCACATCTCAGCATCTCTGTGACTCCATCTGCTCAGAGTTCATAACACAGCTTTTCAC